ACGGGAATGCTTCCACCCATCATTACAGCTTAATCCGTGGAGGAAAAGCTTGTAGGTGAAAGCAACTATTTAGTATCTACAAAGGGCAAGGTGATGCTCCTTTTGCACAGCTCTGTACTCACTCCTGGCAGGTTCCTGGCTTGCACAGCTCGGCACTAAGCGCGGTGCCAGTAGATGGCACTCCAGAATGTGTAACATCATGGCAGAGCTCTGCAGGACTGCCTGGCTGCAGCAAATGTCCTCCACGGACAGCCCCTTACAGCTGTGTCACAGTCAAGATACTTGGAGAAAGTAGATTAAGGGCAAATGCCTCCACAGGGCGAAAATACCTCCCAGCACCAGCTGGTGCATATCTTGGAGAAGATACAACATATGCTCACTTTGTACAGCCAACCTATTTTAGAAGTTAAGTCAAAAGCAGTGGGACGGGTCTATCGTACGGCACGTGTTGACACTTGTTGGGAGTGCCCTTACCCTTTCTGTACAGCCCTTGTATGGGCTGTTCAAAGCACAGGAAGCCTCCTCCAGCTCTTCTGAACTTATGCGAGGACAGCCAAAATCCAACCCTTCCACTTGTAAAATCAAGGTTATATAAGGCAAAGGTTTAGAAGTAAATCAGAATGTCTGTTGATTTCTATCACAAATGTAAGCTGGGGTTTTTGCTCCTCATAGCACAAGCTTTATTGAGGTCATACCAATTCACCAAAGGCAGTTTTCTTGCCCTCCATGTTTGAAACACAAGAGTCTCGAGAATTATGCCACAAAGAAGAGATTGTGTGAAAGCAGCATCAGGAAGAGCTCAGCTTAGAACAGAACTTATCAAAACTAATGATTTAGCTACATTCTTTTTTTAAGAAAATGTTCTTTTCCACAAAAACCATGGAATCATTTAGGTCATCGAGTCCAACCGGTAACCTAGCACTGCCAAGCCCATCAGCTGTATAATACATGAATGTTACATGATAAAAAACTTTAATGATAACCAAGAGTTCAACAGTCATTTCCTTAGAGATTTTTCTTATATTTCCATTAATAATATAAATTATAAATGTCCTAAGTTATAACATTACATACCACTTTTTCAGGGGATTCATGACTTATTTAACCTGAAACTGCATGGTTATGTTTTCCATAATGGCTGTCGAATGCAATGTCAAGATTTTCTTAAACTACCCTGCTCACGAAGGACTTAGTTCAAAACATATGGGTTGTTTCTTCATCAAAGAATATGAGAGTAAGTGTCACCAAATGAAAACTGGAAGAGATATATGGTTGCTCTAAGTGTTATACTATGTTACCAGGTTTGAGCATAATCATTAATTGGAAAGTTATCACTGGCCATGAAATACACAGGAACATTTAACTTCCTCCCACAGTGACCATGAAAATACAGAGAATGATGGTTTAATTAGTAATCCTAGAGACACCAGGCAGTGGTCAAAACCTTAAGAACTACCAGCATTATTGCTGTGAAGAAGGAGGGACTCGAAACCTTTCGACCTGTCTGTTCAGCCTTAGGCCTTTGCTGTCAAAGATGATAGCAGTGATTATGGCCTGAAATTACCGGATTATTTTATATAGGCCTTTGACAATGCGGCATCATACAGTGAAAGGTCTGTTTCCTTTCTCTGTTTCAAATGCCTTTTACTTTGCTCCAGTGCCTATGCAGACTTCAGTCAGAAAGTATTTCTCATTTACATGACCTAGATAGAATAATAGTGAGAAAGATATTCCTTGATCTTTTTTTCTGTTGATTTGCTATATTCAGCCTGGAAGAAAAACATAATCATGGGAATGCATTGTTTCTTTTATGTCGGTATTAGGAAGCAATGTAAGGTAGATTGGGGGATAGATCTAGGCAGAAGCCTTGCAATAAATGGACAGAAAAACACATGGAATAGCTTTAAGGGTTACACAGTTTCGCTTATTTTTTTAAAAAGTTCCTTGTTTAGCGACTTTTCAAACTTGGTTTTACTACAGTGACCTATAGCTGACAATAACTGTAAGCTGGGTGATTTAACTCTAGCACAGCTATGTTTAGAACCATGTCAGTAATAAGGACGATAGCTCAGTGCAATGGGTGGCTTATTCCATGATTACTCATTTCAGAATCATTACCTCAGCTGGCATACTGAACAACCTATATTAAAAAGTGCTACGAACTGACTTGAACTGTGGTTACAGAAATAGTCTGAACACATCTTGACTCCATTTGTCCTTAGCTGTTGCTCAGCTGTATCCATCTGTGGTCAGTTGCAGGTTCCTTTTCTGATCTAGACATGTTTCTTGATATTCTTACCATGTTTCTGTGGTATTCTCATATGACAGCGTGTGAGAATTAAATCTTTCTTGAAATAACAAAGCAAGAAGCAGAGGAAATATCCAGGTATAATCTTCCATGGCCTGCCATGATAAACATACCCATGAGAAAAGTTAAAGGAACATTTGTCTGGGTTTAGAATAATTCGTGACAAAGTGTGGCTATGCACACTGATCTGTGCAATGGATCATGAAGCTGAATAAATCATCTGCTCAAGAAGGAAAGAAAGAGAGTTACCATTTTTAACAACTTTAAATATTTCATCCCGAGAAGTAGTACAAAAAGTAGATGGTTGTCCAAAAGGTTGTAGAATCCCAAAATACAGACAAACTATGACTAGTAATAAGAAATAAAAGCACAGGAGATTATCTAATAATCAAGATCTTTCAGATATAGTTATTGCCTGAACTTGCACCATGGTGGTGAATGACAGTATGGTTAAATGAAAATGCAAACCATCTTTGTGGTGAGGAGCCTCACTAACAGGACATGAAAAAGTTTTAAAAAGTTCTCATTCTGAAAATGGAAGTACTGATTGTAAAATAATAGTTTTGGGCCTCTTTCATCATCCAAGGACAATTAAAATGAATGGAAGTATGCCCACTGACATTGATGGGCTTTGAATTCAGGCTCCGGTCTCTTTCAAAAATATGTCAAAATATAAAAAAAAAAAGTCTGCCCAGTCAAGCACGGGTAGGAAATGTGAGACAAAAGGACATTAACAGAATGTCTTTCAAATTGCAGGAATTAGGGAAATAGTCCAAACAATCATGAATGAAGATTATTTCGTGTAATTGTGTCCAAATACTAAATTCATACACAACATAGCTTATCTCAAATTCTTGCAAGCTTGTATTGAACTTAAAAGAATTTACAAGAGATGATAATTTTGTGAAAATAATTTTAAGAAACCATAGCCTTAAAACAAACAGCTTGTACAGTTTCCAACAGCTAACAGAAATATTTATTCTGAGTATCTCAATTCCAGTCCACTAGTGCCTAGAAAGAGTATTGTGAATTTGAAATCTTTGTCATTATTATGTCCATTGCAAACAGCTATTTAGACAGAACTAAAGCTACTGAAAGTGGTCTCCCAAAACTCATAGAGGAAGCTGACATGCTGTTCAGCTGGAAACAGCCTTCTTGAAGGAGAATTGATGTGAATCCTTTTGTAAAGGAGATCTGTGCTCTGAGCACTCAAAATACATCATAGAATACTAATCACACTACTTCCCAAAGCAAAAGAAAAAAGGATAGAGTGCATCACTGAACTGAGAATGGCACATCTCTTTGGAGACATTTTGGAGGGGCAATAAAGGATGCTGGTCTACATCCTTATCTATATAGACTTAAAGAAGAACCCTGAAACAGTATAGCATAAATATTCCATTTGTATTTTATGTTCCCCATATGAGAAAGAAAGGATAGCTCTCAGCCTGGGCAAATTAACACAGGTCTAGTGGAGTGAAGGAGACATGGTAACAATATCATCTTCTTAGCCTAGTGTGCTGGTGGAACCTGGAGCAGTGCAGGAAGAAAAGGCACAGATGAAAGACTACTGAAAAGAAAGGTGGAACTGCTTTGTTCTGTCTTTTTTTTCCCTGGAATCTGAGTTTCTCCCCCTAAAATAAAATAGTGGGGCTGCATATCTCAGACAATGGATCAAACAGAAAGCACGCACCTCTTCAACCACATGATGCAGAACACGTGCTGCATGAGGTGCAAAGAGTGAGTCACAAAAGGGTCCAAAAAGCGTTCTTTGGCACATCTCCTTAAAATGTTCCACCTTCACCTTATGGAAGGGTAGTAAACTTCAGTATTAGAATATTTAAAACATTTTTTTTCTCCCTAACAAAAGAGAGAGACTGACTAACGGTCCCATTGCTTTGAATCAAAATACTTGTCTATTATTAAAGCGCTGTAGTAGTAAAAATTGACTCTTGATGCTGTCATTCTTTCACTATAAAATGAGAAGCGCATAGGAGGAAATATACTGGCTCTGCATGTGGCCAGAAAAAAGAGTTTTGTTCCAACAGTTTTTTTCTTGGGTAAGACTTTTTATACTGTGTTTGACATTCTGAATTACATGATTACATAGTGTAAGACTACAGCAACATTTTGTATTGTAAAGATGGAGATGCTCAGCATTTTGCCAGATGCCAAGTGATATTCTGATATTTCTATCTTCTCTTTAAACTGAGTGACAGTCAGCATATTCACAATGAAGCCAAGACAATCTGCTATCAAGTTACAGTAGTGATATTTTCCCTGATGAAGATCCCAGAGCTCGTTGGAATAAAGCTCCTTAAAACTCAGTGTCTGGAATAGCTCCAGCTTGAATTGCTCTCTGTGTAATATAATTTTATATTTGTGCCAGTCTAATAAGTAGATCACTGGGTAGAGGCTTTTGTAAGTAAGTCTATACGTACTGCACCATTTCCTGGCTCTGTGCTCCAGCGTGTTGCAGGCTGTGTGCAGTGGGGGAGGTGCCAGAGCTGATCAAGCAGTGTAATTTTATACATTACTGAATCAGTGCAGGAGAAACCTGGAGGGACAAAGCATCATCTTCTCTTTGGACTGCACTGTAAAATCCTACAGCTCTCTTAGCCCAGCCATGCTCTCTGACAGATTTTTTCTCTCCTTTTTCTGATTTTGGTGTGAATGATAAAGTGATCTGATGATGGCTCTCGTTATGGAACCTATTAGCAAGTGGACGCCCAAACAAGTAGTGGATTGGATGAAAGGTACGATCATTTATTACCATGTATTGTTTATACTTTGGATCCTTGCAATATGGTCTTGTATTCTTTGTTTTGGGAAGAGTTTATTCAGTTCTAATAATCCATTTGCTGCTTTGCACAGTAGTTTTTAAGACACGACTGGAGAGAGGCTGCTTAAGCTGTGCAGCATGTTGTTGGAATTTCTGCCGAGCACTGAGTAGGGCTCAAATGCATTCGTCGGTAAATGCAGACATAAAGTGTTTGTGTCTCATGGCTCCATTATGCATTGCACAGTGTAACATTATGATGTTTGGTTGCTTTAAATTTGCCCTGATTAGGTCTGTTTTGCTCATATCAGGTGATCTGATGCAGTGGCTGTGCAGCACTTGTGTGTAGTTTAGGGTACCACAAGGAGCACAAGGTGCCACTGACTGGACTGAGGAATTCTGCTCCTTTAGTGACATGTCCTGATTCGTTCAGGCTTCCCAGCCGCTCTTGCTCGTGCTGCTGTTGTGTCTAATGCACCCGCGTCCCTGTCCGTCGCCGGTACCGTGGACAGTGCAGCCCGCGCCGTGCGTGGGGCGTGCGAGGGGGAACGCGCAGGGCTGAGCATGGCTTCGCTGGGGAAACTCTTCCCGATAACTTGACAGGAATGATGATTTCCCTGCACGTTCGCAGTTTCACAACACAGCCATAAGCTGTGACATGTTTTGCTTTACAATACTCGGCTGTGCTGCAAACAGATTGGGTTGGATGGGAGGGTGGAGAATTGTTTGTGATGATAAGTGTTTTAAATTTCTTCAGAGTGGGGAAAAATGTATTTCCACAGTAGGATGCATTAGTGGTGTTATACATTGCTTCTGATGAGCTGTCTGCCTTAGAGGCAAATCATTTCTGCTACAACAGATCTCCATTATATAAGGAGAAGAGGTGCAAATTTTGTTTGTACATTACTCATAGAAATAATTTCTGTAATGTGATTACTGAACTTATTGGAGGGTCGAATTGGATGCCGACTAAAACATCCCTAAAGCTTTCAAAGTATTATCATTAATAAGGGAATGGTTCTGATTTCATTTTGCTGAGATACATCTCCATACTTAACTGAAATTGGGCTGTTTAGGTGCTCATCAGACACATTACTCTTACAAGCAAACTATTCTTTTAGAACCATACAGCATTATGAAGCAAATGGTATCTGGAGGAATGTATGTAGTTTGTGAACTCAGGTTAATTGGGAGGTCTTAAGCAGGTCATCGGAATGGATCCTGAAACCATTAGACAGATGATTGATTCCCGTTCTTCAATGTCATTACTTGAAATCAAATCCTAATGTACATGCAGAGGAGAGTTTTCTGGTCCACACCTTTACCTTCAGTACATAAAAGATTTAAAAAGGGGACAGATTGTTATGCTATTTTAACTCATGACTGGAATTATAATGTAAATCAAATATCAAAGTATGTATAATACTTGTTGCTAAATTTAAAAATGCTTCCTGCTACTTTTTTACCCTTTTTGACATAAACTAATTACATCTTGGGTAACATTTATCCATAACATGTGTAGTGCATACCATGGGAAGCAAGAAGGTCATACAAACAAAAGGGTTTTAAATGTATGGTGTTGCCTGGCAGTTAAATTTCTATACAAAGACTGCATACTGCATCCACAGGGACGTCTGGAGTAGACAGTATCGTCAGTTGTGTGCTCTGGGCTTAAGCATAAGTAAGTATAATGCAATGAACACCAAAGAATTTACAAGATAGGCATTTTCCTTGGTAACATGAGTGCTACAGATCCCCAAACATTAAAGCTGCACATTTGTCCGTTTCTACCATGTTAACATTACAAGCCCCTTTTTTATCCCGGTGTTTACCTTTATAAATGCATACTTCAACTGTAGCCAAAGAACAGACCTAACACACACAAATGGAAGCATACCAGAATTAGTTTAAAACTACTTGTGAATACCTTACTTTACAAAAATTGCCCAATTGTGGCCACTGTTTGCCTGTATTTTACATTTATTCTGTATGTGAGCTCCATTAGCTATAGTCATTCTGCTAAATAGCTATTAATGCATTAGAGAGGTCGAAGGTCTACACGGGTAGTAATATTCAAGTGATAAGGTAGCTTTTACGTATGTCTTCTATACCGAAGGGTACACTTCTTTGACAGCGTTAAAAGGTATAGTAAAGACATTTTAGAAAAATTACCCCACTATGAATGTGGAATGTTATCTTTGCTATAAATAAACAATGTAACAAATATTGCAAATGCAATATAACCTATTTTTTGGCTTAAAAATATGTAGTCAATTAGCTTTATTCGTAAAGGTTGTAAATTATAACATTTCATAGGGAAATTATTGTAATATGCCTTTTTAAATTGAATTTATCATAATTATTTAAGCTAGAGTAACTTTTAAAAACTGTTAGTAAAGTACACGTCTTGAAATTAACTAGTAGTGAGTACCAGCAACATCAAATACTTAAAGAGAAGATGGGAGAAAGCCACAAAAATGATGTTAATCATTTGAGACCTGGCTACCCAGAAGGCGTCCTGGTTATGGTGTGCTATTATCAGAAGCAGCTGTAGCTTAAGCCCCAACCAAGAGGAGACACCCTTCTGTTCTTTTCCTCCAGGAAATGTTACTTGCCAAAAGCCCTAAAAATTGGTAAACTTTAAGGAACATTATTATGACAAGTTGGCATCTTGTATTTATCTACATTTCCTTTCTGAAGGCATTCAACTGGAATTCAATTTGGGAACTGCATCGGGTGGTGTGGGCAACCTGAAAAGGCCATCCAAGTCTTCAGAAGCTGATTCTTGAGGCTTACAGAGGATCTAGAAGTTAAGACTCTAGATACCTTTGTGTTAAAGAAATTGTCCTTATACAAAAATATTTTGTAAAGTTTAGCAAATACACAGCAGAAGGCACTGTGGTTGAAAAGAAAGCTTTCAAAGGAGCAGAAAACATTAATTGTGAAGATATTTTTGTCAACAGTTTCCAGTCACTACTATTTTTTTCCCCAAAATGTCAAAATTTTCCAATTTCTCTATATGGTTTTCACTTCAGAAAATGAGCAAGTATTTCTCCTGGTATGCATCCATTTCCTACATAACTTAGATGTTTTCCTGGGGATATGTACTATGGACCCAAAAGGTACTTTAAGAGAAAGAACTTTGCCTTGCTCAAATTCCATTGTGGCACTGTTGGAAAACGAATATTACCCATAAAGCTTGCAAATCCATTAAGAATCAGAATAGTTTTCAAACTTAGTCAGTTTTTCCTTTGATTAATTTTAACATACTAACGTGAGTAAATTATAAACTACACTTCAATATTTACATCTGTAATGCTTCTGCCTGGAGACTTTGAATGCTTTTTGGCCCAGCAACCCCATCACTTACTGTAAAACTTGGTGACACTTTGTGGTTGCAAACACATCATCAGAGTTAGCACTCCTAAACCAAAGGCTGTCTATTTTTATATGTATGCATTACTGTTGGAGGTAATCCTGTACAGAATTTGGGGGTTAGAGGGGGGCAGGGGGGAGGTATGTTGCCTCCTGACTCTTATTTGCACTTAGAATTAATAAAGGCATGATACTTTGTGTTTTCATTGTAAGTAGAATCTAAAGGTTTTCTCTGTACTTTTACAAATAACAGCATTTAAGATTTTGTACTTCTTAAATTTTACAAGTAGGTAATTTAAAACGTGAACTCATTTACAGTGAAGTGACACCTGTGCTCAGGTAAATCCCAACTTTTCAAAACAATCCAACGAAGTGAAATGAAATACAATGCAATAAATACAACTGTGTTTTTTGGAGAATGGAATGTTATTAAACAGCTGAAAACTAAAATAGGAAACCAGTTATTTCTTAAGTACCTGTAAGTAATAACTCCACATGGAGTCAGTTATTCAAAGTCTTGGGGACTGACAGCAAGGTTTGTCTGCCAAAATAGCCTGCAGTGGAGGTTTCTCTCATAATGAATGCTCAGCTTCAGATACTCATTTCACAACTGCAAATGATTTTTTTCCCCTTTAAATCTAGAATTTCTCCACTCTCAACAGGAGATGCAGACATGAAAAAATAAAAATTAATTCAGTTGGTAAACTGATTAACTGTGCTGCACTGATCCTGTGCAGTATAATTATATGTTTAGCTGAAGGGTTTTCCTTAGCATGTAATTCCCTGATTTCAAGCTGGCTCATAAAAGAGAAAGGAAGGGAGGGAGGGGGGAGCTGAGAGCAGGGAAGCTGATGACGTGAGTGGACTTGTTAGCATTCATGTCACGCAGGGCTCCGGCAAACCCCCTCTCAGTCCTTTGCTTTTCATTAGATCACTACCTGTTCTGTAGCAATATGTCATAACCAGGGAGTCTCCTCTATTTACAGAACGTAATACATAAAATCTTAGAGCATACTGGAGACACAGCTAAATATTATGATCTACTGCAAAAGCAGCCTTGTAGGTACTGAGCTGGATGATGCTTAGCTTTCTCAATCCCCCTTCATGACCTTAGAATCCCATAATGCAAGAACTCGACTTCACAAGATACAATTTGAAACTTGAGTAGATAATGCAGGTCATATCTTATTTAGAAAAATGTAGGGTTTATAACATCTTTTCAGTTATTTCTGAAGACAAATAGGTTTGGAAGAGAACTGAGAACCACAAATACAGATGCCCTCAGAATTAACATTGAGTTTTCAAGCAGTTCTAAAGTAAAGGTTTCATTGTTTTCTTTCTACTCTCACCAATTTCAAAACTGAAACAAGTGATTTACGTTTGTGGCTCCCTCTCAGATTACTGTGTTCCACTACTACCACATTTCCAGTTGTTGCTAGGAAGTCACTGAATCAGAATTGTTTGCAATTCCTCTCTGATTTCTCTTACAAGTTTCAGACTGGAACGCTTTTTAGTAATAAATTTTGGCAACAACTACTCTGTTGAATGTTGTAAACATTTGCTTTAAAAGGATCAGAAGAGCACTCCTCAACGTTGACTGCT